GAAAAAAAAAAAAAAAAAAGCAACATGATGCCGGCCTTTGTGTCTGGCAAGCATCGGGTGTGGGGCCTGACTGCTTTTATCCTCCACCATTTCCTCATGGAGGTGAGATGTCGATCGACGATTGTCTTGTTCCTGTTGGCTATGTTTGTGTTGCTCGCTATCACTTGAAGTGGACATGATGGTGGAAATTTGTGTTTGCTCGCTATCACTTGAAGTGGACATGATGGTGGAAATTTGTGTTTGCTCGCCATCACTTCATTGATGATTGATTGTTTGATCTTGATCTCTGCTGCCTCCTGTCTTGTTCGTTTGCTGTTATTTCCTTCTCCAACCTTTCCGCCTCCCCGTGTGCGTCCTCCTCCCCTCGCTTCCCTTCTTTCTCCTCTGGCCCCTCCTCCACATCGTCCTCTTCCTTATCCTCCTCCTCTTTCTTCTCTCCTGCTCCTCCTCCTCCTCCTTTGCCCCTTTTGACTACTTTTTGACTAACTGTTTCTTTCAGGTAATGCTTCCTTCGATCCTGACATGTTCGGAATTGGATCAAATTCACGATGAAGACCATAACTGAAGAAGATGACGACGAAAGCATGACGTTGATGCCGCCGATGATGATGAGAAATCTTTTGATTTTTTACCATGATGATTTGTTACCATGATGGACATCATAACGATGGTAGTGACGATGAACAAGGCTTTTGGACGAGACACCGTCTATGATCAATTATTCACTACTATCGAATTACAAGTAAATTCGTCATGATTGAACTCGAGATTCACGTCTCAACTTTCAATCTTCTTCACTTCATGATTCACAAAAGCGATTTCCATGAGGAAAAATAAGTGCGAATGAAGCGAACTGGTGCTTTGAGTCAACGATGCCAGGTTTTCTCTCAGTCTTTATGATTGGAATGTACTACTTCAGTACTCTCTTACTTCCTCCCTCCTCCGTCCTTCCTCCCTCCTCCCTCTCCTCCCTCTTCCTCCCTTTTCCTCCCTCTTCCTCCCTCTTCCTCCCTCCTCCTTCCTCCTCCTGCCTCTTCCTCCCGTCAATGAAGAAGCTCTTGCGACACTTCCCACATCTCCTCCTGAGCTCAAGTCAGAGTTGCTGGCAGACCGACGGAGGAGCAACAAGACGGGATGGTAGAAAAGTGAACAGGATAAGCAGGAGCAGAAGCAGGAGCAGGAGCAGGTGAAGGCGGAGAAGCAGGACCAGGACCAGAAGCAGGAGCAGGAGCAGGTGAAGGTGGAGAAGCAGGACCAGGACCAGAAGCAGGAGCAGGAGCAGGTGAAGGTGAAGAAGCAGGAGCAGGAGCAGGAAAGACTGTCTGTACCAGCGCATGTCGCCCCCATGAGTATCCATCGACGGATATGAAAGGAGGAGGCTGGGGAAAGAAGAATGAGATGTCAGATGGAGGACGGAAAGAGGGATAGGATGCAAGCAGCACGAAAGACAAGTGGAGACGAGACAAGAACGAAAGGCAGCAAGAGGAGGAGGAGGAAACGCATCAGCAGCAGAAAGAGGAGAAGAACGGACAGCAAAGGTAAGAGGAGCAGGAGCAGGACGAG